GCAAGATAGCTCCATCTTGCCCACTCGGGTAGCCAATCACAGCGCAGGATTTGATTCATCTTGCCTGCTCACGGAGCTAGCCATAAATCAGGGAAATTTCAGCCCGGTCGACCGGGATGAAATATCAAGAAAAAAAACAAAATGGTGAAACATACACTTGTATCCTTCTCGACGTTCTGTCGTAGCTTTGTGGACTCCTAAAGCTAATTCACATACTTTTATAGTGGAAATACATACAAGACAAAAATTATGCCATTTTTGTGGATATGTTGCGAAAGCGAAGCTATTTTGTCAAAAAAGTTTCGTCCCGGTCATCCGGGTTGGAGTGTTGATATGGGGAAATTTTCATCCCGGTTACCGAGATCTCTGTAATATGAACACATCAAAATTTTTACGAAGGAAAGGGCGGCGAGGCGAGATCTCGGAAACCGAGTCCGGACTCATATAAAGAGGCCCTAAGTCATTCATATACATGACAATGTCAATTTCATTTACCTTCAAATTGAGGGTAGCCTTGGAGAATTACCGAATTAAGTAATAATCATGAACTAAACAGAAAAACGGATTGTGAAGACTGGGGAAATTGATAAAGAGTACCGACGACGAACTTCAAAATTATAAGACTAAATGTGCAAGATATACCATCCGGGACAGAGTTCCTTTAAAAATCTAAAGGGACAAATTAGGTATCCTCTCTCGTGCGTAAAATAGATAATAAAATAGGTAAATAAATCTTGCACCAAGTAATGTCCCAAAATACTTATTATAGCCGACAAATTGTCTGTGGGTCACATCTTACAATGATGAGTGAAAAGGCCAACTGACAACAAGCAAATCAAATGGCCCAAAAATTAACTGATAACGGACAAATGCATTTTTATTATTAGAAAAAAACCAACACATAATGGCTTTAACCTAGGTTATATTGGTTATTGTGAGATAACCAGTTAAACGAGCTAAATGAGAGCAATTTCAGAAAAGAAAAATTCGATTCGGCATAGAGATGTCATAGTACTTCCGCATTCGGAAATAAAATCCCTTTCGACAAATGGGGATTACCCTTTAGCTTGGGAGACAAAACAACATTACTTTTGATTTTAAAATACGTATAACCCATACTGATAGGGCAACCTAAAATTAACAACAAGCAAAGCGTGATTTTCAGATTGTAAACGCTTATTCCACCAGAATGTTGTAGTCAATCAGTAATTTTATTTCGCTAATAGCTACCAAAGCAATAGATCGCGTGTCGTCAGCTCATATGATAAGTGGATCATGAATAGAATCAGAAGTATTAGTTGACTGAATGTATACTCACTGCGCAATTGTCCAATGCTTTCTGTAACATGGCCAAACACAAACAACATTTTTCGCTGATCCAGTTCGAATTTTACTCACTCACCATGATAAGAAGTGTCGTCCATTGCTGATGCGGCTGATGGAAGTTTTCTCTTCAGTGGTTTTATTTACAAGTGGGCAAAATTCTAAACGGATACAGTGATATTACATGTTAAGAGCTTTGTAAAAAGTGAAACATAATACTTACGCTGTCTATATTTAAGCTGCGTCCGTAGAACTTCCTATTTACAACCTCAAATGCCACTGCTTTGATTTAAAATCAATGTAACAGCCTGTAAATTAGCTGGTGCGTCCTGTAGACTCTGGTTATAGGCGACCAAGTAAAATAAACTGTCTATATCTGTCTCAGCGGGCCCTCGCTATAAGTTATTCGAGAGGTTTCACTGAACAAATAGATTCTACAGTGTGACTCTACTTCTCTTCCGCAACCTTGTCAATGAACCAGTAAGCATATATTTGCTGCAGATGAAACAAATTCATGAACATCGTGATTTCGATTGGGTTTGTTTATGAACGAAGTGAAGTGTCCACGTACATGAGGCACTCAATTTTTATTGCGACTTGGCCGTGAGTAAAGGCCCATTTATATGGTCTTGGGTACAAGAAAACCCTCTCAACGAGTTACGATGGCCGAGCTAACTTTTCACTTACTTCCTTTGAAAATTCAACCAACCGTTTACGTAAGACACATAAGGAACACGAACTCGTTCGAAAACCGAAATAAGTTGTCTCGCCTCGGCAGGGAAGTTAACCCTGGCAGACGGAACAATTTTTTCTCACTGTATACACTTTGACTCATTGTCCCGGGACAATTCTCCGCTTGACGATTGCGGAAATTTGTATCAACGAACTAAAGATCACTTCGGCAAAACCCACTGTGATGGAATGACCAAAGGAGACTCAAAGTAAGAAGGGACAATTGCGCATTTGAATATTTACTGATAAGGGTTGTAAATATTCTCTGACTCAGTCAACTGGGAAAATTTTTTTCTCATATTCTCAAGTTACCTCAGAAAGATGGTTGTCACGGTTACCCGAGAACACAAAAATAGGGCCTTAGGCTAAAATTTTCCTTACAGATCCCTCATTACTCACCTTTACCGCCAATCCGTGTTATGAAAGAAACACAACGTAAAATTCGTCGTGTCGCAGTTTCCCAGCTGTCGCAATCTCGTAGCTCGAGTCCTCGCTCTCTTTTACGCAAGCTAGAGGATACGAGCGTCACTCGATAGTTCCATTACAGAATCGATATTGATTGGTTTTAAAAACAATGAAAGTAACCGGATTCAACCGGAAGTCCAATAATTTCGGACTTTCGAATTCAGACCGATCTTTTTGGGGTCCAGGGTCACTGAAGGACAAGGTCCTCTCGAATTAGTTCATGTTCCCAAAATTGTTTTCTATTTCTTAAATATTAACTTTTTTAGGCTTAAGGTAATTCCTCAGAAATAAAAGTGACAATAGATTTTTGTTCAAACTTTGTCCACTGAATATTTGT